ACCATGTTTTCAGAAAAGATTCAAAATGATTTATATTATACAAAAGTTGTTTCAGAGTTAAGTGAGAAATCTGAAGTGAGTCGTTTACCAAATGTTGATGTCTTTTTCACTCCCAGTCCTTCTCCTAAAGTCACCACCATTCCACCTCTAGGCCACTGCATGAATCTCAATGAACATAATTCTTTAACTATTGAGTCCTTTGACTGACAATGTTCCATTGCTGTAGACATTTTTTTGACAATTTCCTATGAGTCCATTACAGTACCACCTTTTATTTTATGGTTCTATTGAAAAGGGTATAATTTTCATCGATCGATCACAACTCTTTCACAACAGTTTCTTCCACCTCATGCACTCATAAAAACATCCTAAGATGGGGAGGTTTCATCTGTGTCGAAGCAGCTTATCTGAAGTCAGACAAGGATTTGGGCAAACACCTGTCATCGGATTATTAGTAAACTCAATCACTAATGAGGCAGAAGAATTTTTTTCTTGAATCAAAACTTTTGACTGATGTTTCCGTCATGTTGAGCTTATTGTAAAACTTAAGGTTTTTTTACTATTTCACCACGATGTTCAGATTTTGCAGGTCCAAGTTAACTAATGTTCTGCTTTACCACAAAAATGTTGTTCGACGCTGTATAAACCACTAGAGAGCAGGAAATTTCGAGTCAACCACCCCTAGTCCAAGCTACCAACCTCGCTTTTCTGTTGATATTTAGGATGCTTGAATTTTTTTTACTTTAGTTTCGTATTTCCATTCCATATCATATGAACTGTCTTCCCTATTTTTATGCCTCCGTAATCGAAGATTTGGAAGTATATAGTTTTTGTCCTGTCCATCCTTCTGTCTGTCTGCTTGTACACCAAAACTTTAACCTGGTAAATTACTTTTGATTGGGCCTTCATATTTCACAGGCGTATACCTTTGACAAGGACTTTCTTTTTGTATCTGGTAACCTTGACCTTGACCAAAAAAAATCAAAATGATATCCATAACCATCTTTTCTGAATAGTTACTGCTTAGAGTTTTATAGTTCACATGTGTATTTATTGTGACAAGACTCTTTGTTGGGTATAAAAATATTTGACTTTTTGACATTTATCTCAGAGTTTGGTCCGCATTAAAAAAAAATTAACCTTTAACTTTTTTGAACCGTTAGTGCTAGAGCTTTCATATTTCACATGTATATTCCTTGTGACAAGACCTTCCTTTGGATACCAAAAGTTTTGACTTTTTGAACTTGACCTTAGAGTTTGACCCACTTAGAAAAATTAGAAAAATTTTAACATTGATCATATCTTTTGAACCGTTAGTACTAAAGCTTTCATATTTCACAAGTGTATTCCTTGTGAGATAACCTTTCTTTGAATATTAACAATTTTTTTACCTTTGGACCACGACCTTGGATTTTTACTTGCAGTGGAGAAATTTCAACCCTTGCCATAAGCTGCCATACGGGGGCATCAGTGTTTCACAATTATACCTTGTTTTTACTAATGAAAATACTTGATATATGAATAATCTTTTTGTAGATACATTATATAGTCTATTTTGTATTAAAATAATCTTAAAGAACTTTTCTAAACTCTTATGTTTTCATAGATATTTTTTGTAGGTCAAGCATTGTTAGTTTGTTCGTTTAAATACCAAAGTGAATTTATTTTTTACTCATATTGAGAATCCACTTAATGGCGATGGAGTGTAGTATGTGATGTGTAGTAAATGTGTAGTAATTGTTTTTGTAATCTAACGAACTAGAATTCATTATAAAAACTTAAAAATGAAAAGAAGTCTCCCGTTGATGTCCTCAAATCCCAGGCGGTTTTATCGATTATGCGATAATTTCAGCCCGGAGGACCGGGCTGCTCTATACATATACGTTTAAGCGTTGGTGTATGGGGATTGGGGTGGGAGTAGTTATTTAGAATTAAAGGTTTTCTAAATATTGAAAAGATTGTTAATCAGAATGTTCTTTCCGTTTATAAATTATGAGATACATAATATATTTACTTCCATAAAGTGAATCTGTAAAAATTCATATGTTTTTCTTATTTAATATATAAAGTTGCTTATCATTTACTATCGAAAAAACGACAGGTCCCATTTTTTAGAACATCGAATTTTACTTCTCGGATAAAAACGTACTCTGCACAGTTCGTGTTTTATATTCTAAAATTGAAAATTAATACATTTTTAAATATAGGTGATGCGTGTGTCTAACTTCAATTTATATTTTATGCAGCCAACATTTACTTGAGGAATTGATCAAGTTTAAAATGGTATCGTTTTTGATTGATTTTTATCCGACTACAAGTTTTCAAAATATTCGCGACTATCATCTCCATCAATTAGACGCATGCCTTTTCACACATATCGAAGCGGTTTGATGATCAGGACTCATTTTCATTGTTTACTTTTATATATTTCCCGGGCGACAATTGATGGTTACATCAATGTTTTCTTGTTATTTATTGTATTCGATGTACCCCATTTAACTCAAGGTAAAAGTAGGGAGTTCTCATTTAGACCTCCCTTTTCCCCCCAAAATGAACTATGTATTCAGTTTTCAAATGCCAAAAACTAAAATATTTTTACTGGACCAAAATATGCATAGAACTAGCATGGCAATGAGCTAAAATCAATGGAAAGAAGCATAGTCCTGTTGACAGTTTGTTAATAGATCCAATCTCAGATGGTAGTAAAATGAAAGGTTATTCACCATTTGTTTCCTTAAGAATTCAATGCAATGTTTCCCAATCAGATGTCGTGAAATTCTCAGTTCTAATGGCCCTTAAATTATTTTTCTTAAAATGGAAATGTTTCGGAGGTTTGTATTTGTTGTGCTTCTATTTTGTATCGTTTTATGGATTTTTGATCTCGAACACTGTGTGTTATCTCCATATCCTCAGTGACGTCACGTGATTGAGCGCAGCAGCGGGGTTCTTTTCATGCCAGACTTTGGCCGGAGAAGACGCGCTTGTACCGAGATAAGAAACGAAGAAGTGCAGGAGAGGTAAATATATATTTATTTTTTAAAAAATAATGGGGAACCTTGGTGGTTCTAAGCCTTGGTGGCTATTGTGAATGCCTTGGTGGCATAGGGAATTTACAGTATTGGGAAGAAGTGCGTGTCGTAACAGTATGGACCTGGTGTTGGAGATCTGGAGTTGATCCATTTTTGACCCAATACTTAATAGAGCTGCGGAGTGAATAAGAATAAGTAAAGAAACTGAGGATATGTAATTATCCTCAGTGACGTCACGTGATTGAGCGCAGCAGCGGGGTTCTTTTCATGCCAGATTGGTAGGGATAGGCGTCAGATTTAAAGAGAAGGTACAACTGTAGGTAATTCGGTTATTTTCCCACCCACCCACCCGAATATCTGTAGATTCACTCTGTAGTTCGATCTCATTTTGACCCAATACTTAATAGAGCTGCGGAGTGAATAAGAATAAGTAAAGAAACTGAGGATATGTAATTATACTAGTATTTCACACTAGAAACTTTTGGGAAATGCAAATTAACATTATTCAGTTAAAAAAGAAAAAAATATTATCTAATAACTTTTTTCTTCTCACAAACAGATTCCATAATTTATCTATTTTTTTATTTATTCATATATTTTATTGTAGTATTGTAAGACACACGGCCTCCTACAAGCTTGAACTAAGGGGTTAACCCTTTAGCTCAATTGGTAGAACACTGGACATGGCAAACCAGAGCACCGAGTTCATTCCCCAGCAGAAACACAAGATTGTCACTGTTACAATGTTTATTTATTCTTCTATTTAATTCATTCACCGATTTATTTATTTATTGGTTCATTTATTTATTCCTTCATTCATTTAGTTATTCAATAAATCGAAATTGAAAATTTCAATTCTTGCATGCAAAACTATTAGAGTGAAGGTTCAATAAGAGAAAAACCAGAACAATATCAATAGGCTAACCGATTTTGTTCTGGAGAATATAATATCAAAGATCTATTTCAAATTTGGGAAGCGCGGAATGTGCGTATGAATTATTTACCTCTTACTTAGCTAATTCTTCATAGCTTGATATACGTTCAACCTTGAAATATTCAACTATTTCAAGAGTATTTTCTGACATTTAAAAAGAAGAGAATCAAAACTACAGCAGATTGACATATTCTTTACTTGAGTATTTGTCATCTGCATTTGCGATTTACTATAAATAATCGAACCACA